ACCTCCCCAAATCCCACCCCAACCCCAAATATAATCCATTCTGCAACCCTCACTGCATACTCCTACGATAAACATAATGCCCTAAAATATAATACTTTTAAACTATTCTCTGCCCCATAGACTTCAATGCCGTAAACATATTTCATCCATTTGTTCTCAGTCTTACCCCCACCCCGATGCAACAACGCCACTTTTGAGTTACCAGTACAACTCCCCCCCAGGCCGGAGCTCCCTAGCCCCAACTTAGAAAAGAAAATGTTGTTATAATAAAAGAAAATTAGGGAAATACTAGCTATCTTCAATATCCTTTTTTTAAAATAATTTTAATGAACATTTACAGAGATTTAGGATTTCCATTCATTCATTGTCTCCAGTATACCTTTGAAAGTCATTTTCTGCCAAGAAAATAGTTGTTTCCATTTTTAAGAAGTAAAATAATCCTATTTCATTCTTAGAGGAAGAAAGTCATTAATATTAGCACTTTGTAGCATTCTAAAATTTACTATTCTGGCTGTTTAAAGCTTGAGTAAGTTTCTGTAGGGTAATGTACCATGTGGTTTATGAGAGAGTGCAATACTTCAGTGGTGTTGATGCTTGGGATTTCTTTCTAAGTTGCACTGCTGAGGCTTAAGCATCTTTAAAGGTGGACCAGACATTCTCCACTCACTGTGCCCCTGCGGGTTTAATGATCCTCTGGGGGAGTCAGCACTGACAGCTTCGCCAAAGGCAGTAGGCTGTAAGAGTAAGGCAGGAGGAAGAGAAGCTTTGTTGCCCCAGTGATGCAACTTCCAGTCTAACAGTGTTGTTGAGTGGGATCGTACCCATAGCTGACCCTCAGGTGGATTTCCAGAGGCAGTTAATCACACGGGAGGAGATTGTCCATCCTTCTCCCATGGAGCAGCTGGTGGTCTTGAACCACGTGTCTATATAGACAGGCCTATATAATGATAAATAACATCAGGGAAGAACACACAGCTTAGAGCATTCAACTGAAAAATAAAAAAGAGCGACATTTGTCCAGACAGGAAGCTGAGAAAGAAGGCAGGACACACTAGGAAAGGAAATGGTGAACCCAGGGAGGAACTGGGAAAAGTGCTTATGTTCTAGGAATTGTAATCAGTGTTAAAAGACTGGTAATTATGAAGAGTTGGATGGAAAATGAATTTGACTTACAATTTTTCTCTCAGATCACAGTGTTGTGTTGTGTACTGTCGAGTTGCCGTGGGTTTTCAAAGGCAGGTAATCGCTCAGGAGGAGATTGCCAGCCTTCTCCTGCAGAGCAGCTGGTGGATTTGAACTGGTGGCTTCGGAATTGCAGTGCAGCTTTTTGCCACTAGGCCTCCAGAGCTCCCTTAGATTACAATAAAAGGTTCAAGGAAAAAATAAGATGCAGCTTCAGTAGTCTGCAGGACATTTACGGAGAGCAAATTTGTCTCATCCAGTGAAAAGTAAAGAGTAGCTTTGTTTAAAAACCCACAGAGAGAAGAATAATTCTGCTGTGAGATAGGAGTTTTGTCAGAGAAATGACTCGGTCCTAGTGGAGAAGCACAGCGGATTAAAAAGCAAAATTTGAGGGAAATTTGATCTCTTACAGTGAAAAGGAGAAACAAATTCATATAGTAGTTCACACTTTTCATAAAATATTGGAAGCTGGTTTATCATTGTCTTGAAAGAGTTGCAGTAAGTCCTTTTTGTGCAGCAAGCTTGGATGATTTCTCATTTGTTACTATTGTACCCACAGAGTCTGACAACAGCTTTGTGAAAATACTACAAACAAATTGACTTCACTTCAGCTAATTAACACTCTTATTAGAATAGTTGCAGCAGATTGCCTGCCATTCAGATTTATAACAGAGAACATTCCTCCGAAGCAGTTTAGAAATTAACTGTTTCAGCAGTTAGAAAACAGATGTCAGTACCAAAGGTAACAAAGTAGGAGGAGCTGGCTCTTGCTCAAGAAGCTCTTGAGATTGCAGTTCACATCTGTTGACTTGGATTCTGAAATTGCTCTGTCTCTTTTAAACTATTTGGGCAGAAGAGGCCCCTAATAAACAACTTGGCATTTGCTTCATACAGCAGGGTGTCTGATCTTAATTGTAAGAGCAGAGATAAAAATTGTTTTTTGAAACTTTATTAAAAACAAACTAATATATTTCCAAAAGAGGATGTAGATGACTTCTTGGTTGCATTTTTTTTCAATTAAAAATCACTAACGTATTTGCCCTTACAAAGGCATTTTGAAGCAGTTTAAAACTGATCATTAGCAACTGTGGTCTTAATCTTGAGTATATATATATATACACTGGTAGTTGGAAAAGAGAACACAAAATTAAAATGAGCATATACAATTGAAATAGCTACTCTGTCTCAATTTCTCCTAGTCCCTCCTCCCTCCCACCCAAGCTTTCTTGAACCTGTCTCTTAAATGTGTTTGTTGTCTTAAGCCTCTTTTGTGCATTCCATTGTTGATGTTTCAGTTGTCTTCACCAGATAACAGTTCACATTCCTCTTGGGTTCCTCCCTTTGCCTCTGGTTTCATTCTCCCTCTGATTCTTTTTTTTTTTTTTTTGCTGTCAGTTTTCCTTTTGGAACATATTGTAATCCTGTCACTTCCCCCTTAAAAACCTTTTCTAAACTCTGATTTGACTACAGCAGAGATTGAAACTGACATGTCAGGCCAGCTTCTGCCCTGGCTCTTTTTCATTTAGTCTCTGTAAAGGGTTGTTTGTTTTATCCAGCCACTGTTGGAGCTTTGGTGGCCTAGTAGAAGGAACTGCCCTGCCATCCCAAGAGCATGTACTTGAGATCCACCAGCTGTTCTGTGGGAGAAAGATGGGCAGTCCCCTTCCACGTGATTAAATTTCCTCTGAAAACCCGCTGGAGAATCAACTGTGAGTCATTTCCAACTCAGCAGTAAACAACAACTTAAAAATGAAGACATTTTCTATTCTAATCTGCATTCAGGTTTTCTTGAAAAATTGGAAGATCTGACCACCCTGGACCCTACAGGGGCTTTACTCATTTGATAATGAGTAGTTTTCCTTCTAAATGGCAGAAGCTAGGGGAATCCTTGTATAGTCCGGCCTTATTCATCGTCTGGAACTCAGTACCGCCTGCTCCCCTCTATAAAAGCATATGGCCTACCACCTGCCCTCTTAACTCATTGAAGGCACCAAAGATTCCTGTGTGTCCTGTGGGCATCTATTACCTCGGGCCAATTGACTTCTCTAGTCTTGGCCGCCTCCAGGCTCTGTCTCCGAATCTCTAACAGTCAAGTGTTGCTGTACGCTTCTTTTTTTTCCCCTAGTTTGAGTGAAAGTTTATGAGGCAAGTTCTTTTCTTTTCAACAATTCATACATATTTTGTTTTATGGCGTTAATTCCAATACCCACAGTGCAACCAGCCACACTTTTCCCACTTCTCCCTATAATTTTCATTTCCATTAATCCTCCTATCCTGCCCCTTACTGCCTTCAGAGTTTGGGGTTTTTTAAACTTGGTTTGCATACAATAATTCCTATACATTGTGCGTTATTCCTCAGAGTTTAAATGCTGCTCTTTTGACCATTTGTGGTAGGTTATTCTGAGGGATGAGTGCCTTCCTGGTGTTATTTATCAACTTACAGGCCTGTCTGTTGTTTGGCTAAAAATTGAGCCACAGGGGTGACTTTTGATCCAGGTTCAAAGCGTGCTTAAGGGCTGTAGTCTCGGGGACGTCACCAATCTTCCTTAGACCAGGAAGCCTGGCCTTTTATATGTTTCTGTGTTCTGTGCCTTAGTTCCCTCACTCTCTCCAGGCTCGTCTTCTGTGAATTCCTTTTAGGATGGTCAGCAATGATAGGTACCATGTAGTTCTTCGGTCTCGGGGTTTTAGAAGTTGGACTAATTATTTCAATACCTCTTTTCTTCCTTGTTCAGGAAAGGGAGAGACCAGTATTCTTGCACCTTTTTTTAAATTTTATTATTTTTTGTGCATTGTACCTTCAAATCAGATCTGACTGGTACAGGAGGAGATTGTCCCTCCTCCAGCAGAGCATCTGGTGGATTCGAACCAGGCACATCTGGGGCACCTTAACTTTTTAAGACCCCAGGTTTAAAATTACTCATTAGAGTAGACTTACAGATAGTTGACTTTGTGGAGCGTGTTATGCCAGTTGATCTTGACTATCTCCCAAGATTATGGTCCCACGGCCTCCAAACCAGTAACTCCTTCCCTCTGAATATGTGATTATTATTAAGAAGTTTGTATACCTTTGTCACCTGTTGGCTTTGCTGTGTCCTGTTTGAGCACAGCAGAGAAATTAACTACTTAGAATGCCCTGTTTGCCTTGATTTTCCCATGAATTTTTTATCCAGTTCATCCATTATTCTTTTTTGCTAGTTGCCCACTATCCCCCCTACCCCCACTGTTCTTAAAACCTCACAACTCTTTTTCCCAAACTTGGCTAATGATGTATTCTTTCTACTTTTTTCACAGAGGACTGGTTTTCAAGTTTGGTCGCACTGAAGACTTATGGCAGTGAAGACATTCCACAGCACAGCAGCCCTGCCTGGGTTTTTTACTGCTCACTCCCAGTCTTTTGTAATGCCATTTTCTAAACGTATTTCTGAGTGTAGTCTTGGCTTAAAATTATGTAATACTAAAATCATGAGCTCTTCCAATTTCAACAACAAAAATATTGTGGTTTGTACTTGATTAACTTATAAAATGTTACAGGAAACAATTTCACGTAATTTTTAATGACGTCTTCTCATGGTATAATTTGTAAAAATAAAAAGGAACTACAAAAGAAATCATGGATACATCTGTATGAGTACTTGGCATGTCTGAGGTCCAAAATTGCACTTAATGGGCTTTGAAAATTTAATCTATTTATTTAAATGTGGCATTATATCAGTGTTAAATGTACACATTTTCTTGTTTTTAGAAACTATTCAGTGGTTAGAATTCTGTTTTGGCTTATAGAGTTTTACCAAATATTATATAAATACTGCCATGTAGGTAACTATCAAGGGGCTTTTCAAGTGGTGGAATAAATATGTCAGAAGAGAGAAGCCCTGGATCTAGCTACCAGGCTTGTCATGTCCCTCTGTGATGGTTTCTTCCAGTATGTTGCTAATTCTGAGGGTTTAGGGAATGTAACTCAGCCAGGACACTTGGTCCTGATAAGATACTGATAGAGTCATCATACTAATGGTGAATTTTTCATATTCACCTTAAGGGAAGAGAAAAGGAGAGGGACTTGCTCTAGTCCTTTACTCAGGTGACTATTTGGAGGGGTAGGATGGTGATCAGATAAGAAAACTGGATTCCGTATTTTCATTTTATCTCTGTTTAAAAGTCTAAACCTCTAAACTCATGCTAGATCTGCCCAATAATAGTTCCAAACATTATTGGTCCTTCTCATGGGCTTTTCCTGAAGAGGAGTATTCTTATTCCCTCGGGGTTTCCACGTTAGCAAAATTTTTTTTATGAACTCACTAACTGTGGGATAAATGTTCTTCAGAACTAAAGCTTGAAAGGTCTCATAAAATTAACTACAATTAGCTCTTCATTAAACATAAAAGATCTCTTACATGGTTTAATTTTATGACCTTTCCCTCCATGCCTACCATTGTTATCTGCTAATGTCTGTCAGTTTTGAGTAATGCCTGATTCTCAAGACACTATTCTAAGAAATTACTATATTGCTATTATCACACAGCAAGGCATGGCGAATTTTCACATGAATGTGAGAATTAGGGAAAATATCTGAGGTTCAGAGATGAAAATCTTTTTAACAGATGAAAGAATCCAGACTATGAAATCTAATTTCATAAAGGTCACAGAATTAGCTTTTCAGTACTAAGGCAGTTTATGGTGTCTCCTGCTCTACAAGTGACCATATCTTAAAATGCAATTCATAATGTGCTCAGGGAAGGTGAACTACCTTATAAAACTTCTGGAATGAAAACATAATGTCTGCAAGGACTAAATATAAGTGAGTTCTCAATTTATCCCAATTTTGTATTATCTGTTCTGTTAATGTAGACAGATGTTAACTGGGCATGAGAAAGAATCTAAAGAATTATAAATAAAGTTCAGTTGAAACCTTAATTATATGTCTGCACACAAAATATAGCATCATCTTTTTTTTTAAATTTTTTTTTAGCATCATCTTAAAGGAAATTGAACATTTATTTAAACTATTATTAAATGACCACTTAAACAAGTTTTTAGCCTTTTATTTTATCTATGACCTTGGTTCATTGAAAATAATGAGATGAAATAAATGTCACACAAAAAAGGTAGAAAACATCAGAAGAAAGTTGTTTTTTTTGGCAGGACTTCTTTTCCTTGCGTACTTAATATCCAACAGCCAAATGAGGAAACTGTAGAACCAAAACAAACATTTATTATAGATGAGCATTTATACTCTTAAAATTTATATACATATTATTCTGGCTTGATGTTTTGAAATTTAAGATGGCCTAAATGTCATGTCATCAGAATTCTTTCATAAAATCCTATAAAGGATTTTGAGAGACCTTAAGTTATATAAAGATATGCATGAATCATTGGTAAAAGATTATCTAATTGCTGTTTGAAGCTTCCAGTAATAGGGAACTTACTGCCATATAAAGTGACTTTTCCATTTTACAGATATCAAACTGTTCAGAATGTATACCATCTTGTCAGAACCTTTGGAGAAACATAGAAAACATGTTTTTCCTCTTTCAAGTATTTGAAGAGAGTTTTTTTGTGGTATAAAAAGAGCATGGGTCATGTGGGGATGGCCATGTGTGACCTTTACTTACTCGCAAAGGGGAACTGTCTCTGTCAACAACATCAGTAATACAAAACCAATTCCCGTGAGGCCAAACATGTCCTCCACGCTCCCATACCTCTTTCTACTCATCTCAACGTCAGGCTTACTGCTTTGCCTGGTCCAAAATATGGTGCAGTAGCTCACAGAACACACAGAACCATGTTGGGAAAGTCAACAGCTTAGCAGAATACAGTCGGGACAGCTTCTGAAGTAAGCTTACAGGAACATCAGCCTTGAGCCTCATGGCTTTAAACCAGTGTTCTAAAATTCTCTGGCAAGATTTTAAGAACTTTGTGTCTGTAAAATACCAAGAGGAACCCAATACATTTTGCTGTGGTTTCCAGCTAAACACAGTGGTGTTTATGAGGGGTTTTTTGCCCCTTTTAGAAAAATTATTATTAATTTTTCAGTTTGCTTGGCTCCA